AGACATTACATGGTTTAAAATTTGAAAAGGGGTGTGCCAGTTTTGTATTCTTTCACCACACTTCTTCAATCTGTGCACTGAATAAATAATCCGATAATTCAGAATATATGAAGAACATGGCATCAGGACTGCAGGAAGACTCATTAAAAACCTGTGATATGCAGATGATACAACCTTGCTTGCTCAAAGCAAAAAGGATTTAAAATAGTTCATGATGAAGCTCAAAGATCATAGCTTTCGGTATAGGTTGTGCCTCAATGTAAAGAAAATAAAAATCCTTACGATTGGACCAATAAATAGCATCATGATAAATGGAGAAAATATTGAAGTTGTCAAAACTTCATTTTGCTTGGATCCAATATCAACACTTGTGGAAGCAGTAGTCAAGAAATCAAATTATGTATTGCATTAGGCAAATCTGCTGCACAAAGTCTCTCTAAAGTGTTCAATAGCAAAGACACCAGTTTGAGGACTAAAGTGTACCTGAGCCAAGCCATGGCATTTTCAATAGCTTCATATGCAAATGAAAGTTGGATAGTGAATAAGAAAGACCACAGAAGAATGTGCATTTGACTTATGGTGTTGGAGAAGAATATTTAAAGTACCATGGACTGTGTGAAAAGCAAATAAATCTATGTTGGAAGAAATCTAGCCGGAATTGTCCTTAGAAACCAGGATGGTGAGCCTTCATTTCTTATTTGTTGTTGTTGTTGGGTGCCTCGAGTTGATACTGACTCATAGTGACCTTATGTACAACAGAACAAAGTACTGCACAGTTCTGTATCAACCTCACAATTACTGCCAATTAACTCCACTGCAGCTTCCACTGTGCCAATCCATTCCTTGGGGTCTTCTTCACTTCACTGATAATTCAATTTACCAAGCATGATGTCCTTCAAGAACTGGTTACTCCTGATAATATGTCCAAAGTATGAGAAATGAAGCATGTCCACTCGCCTCATAAGTGACATTTTGGCTGCACTTCATTTGCTCGTTCAGGATACATTTAATACTCTCCTCTAACACCATAACTCAAATATCTTTCGTACTTCTGACATGTTATCAGTCCCTAGAGAAGGACATTATGCTAAGTAAAATAGAGGGTCAGCAAAAAAGATACCTCCAACAAGATGGATTGGTACAGTGGCAACAGCAATGTGCAGCTTGCATGAAACTCAATAATAGCAACAACACATTAGACATAGATATAGGTATGTATACAGATCTCGGTATAGATCTATGATCTATACTGAAATAGGTTTCAGAATACAGAAAGAAAATGAGAGAAACTTGCATCATGTGTATACCATAACAGCTATGGGAACTCTCCAAGAAAACCTTAGCTTGAAAAAGTAAATCTATCAGTCGTAGGATATTGGACCATTACTAGCAATAGCTTGCCTATAAGTAATGATTATTTACTCCAAGGAAAATATATGAATGATACAGATACATTGCTCTATCATGCTGATCTCTGAATTTCAGAAAACACAAATAATGTGTGGAATGATATAAGACTCAGTGTTGTATAGGGCTCTAAATTTATATAAAGTTTATTTTGTCTGGAAGGATACTGTCTCTTACTATAATTATCAGGAAAGCAATAAGAAACATGGTCAGTATGTGAAGAAAGGCAGCATATGCTTTTAGTGCATTTTAAGTTTTTTAACAAGATGGTCTAAGAATGAAGAAATGAAGATATTCTTTTAAAATGTTTTTAGTTGAAGTTTTTTTTGTTTTTTTTTTACAAAGGAAAGAAGTTTTAGGAAGTACAAAGTTATATACTTAGAAACTGTTAGGACAGCAGCATAATCAGCTCTTGACAAGTAATAATGTGTACCTCACAAAAACTGCACAAAATGTACTGAACAAAATTTTGCTCCATATCACAATAGACACTTGACCACTTACACTTGTAACTAAAATAAAAGCATAAGAAATAGCTACCTCTTTATCTATGTACCTATCTATCATTTATCAATCACAGGTCTATACAAAATAGAATAATAGAGAAATACATCCATACATTGATACATATATAGATACATAGACAGAAACACACACACACACACACACACACACACACATATATATATATATATATACACACACATATATACATATATATACACACAC